TCTTTTTTGACCCCTTATAATCATTTTTTTCAACCCTTAAGCCATTATAACCGATTATAATCGATTATACTCCATTTTTTCGAAAAAAAAAATCTTGAAAAGCCAATCATTTGCCTAATGTTCGTGATCAGCTATTTCACAACTCTACTTTTAAAAAAGCAGGCAAAATATTTAAAATTACAAAAACGATAAAAATATCTTTTAAGGAAACAATCTCAATAATTTCATCATTCTTCAATTTGTTTTGTTCTGTTGTTATTTGAAGATCATGTTCATGAACAGCCCATGCCAGGTGGCGGGTAAGATGAACAGCCCATGCCAGGTGGCGGGTAAGATGAACAGCCCATGCCAGAGGCATCCTCCACCTTCCTCTCCACGTCTCTGTCATCACCTCTATCTCCTCTATCAGGGGCATCAGATCAAGCAGTGAAACAAAAAAAAACAATTAAAAATGGAACATTATACCTATCAATTTTTCTAACCTTGAACTGGCGTTTAAACTAACGAATAGTAAGCTAACCGTATGAATATGCGGGGCAAATCAAACCTTATAACCCACACACACACACACACATACACACACACACATCTTCTCAAAAAGTATGCACAAAAAATCTTAAAAAATTCTTAAACCACTGTTTAGCTGGATTTTTGGTTTTAAAAGTTTTTTCATATCCCATAGATTCTGAACATTCCACGCTACAATTTGGTAAGCAGCTGAAAACATCTTTTCGAGATGGGCAGTAAAATTGGTGAATGCTTTCAACATACAAAAAAGACCTTTTAAAAGTTTCATAGGATGCATAAATCAATCCCCCCATTTTAAATGATTTTAAAAAGTCTTCTTTGGTTGCGGAAACCATTTACCATGATAGTTGCCCGCCCCGATTAGTTAATTCACATACATTTTCTGAAAAGGACAACCATCTGCTCTTGCGGCGGGTAAAACAATCGTTTTAAGGATCCTACATACGGAACCTGGATTATTGTACATTACATGTAAATTAACAAGTAAAATAATCATATCGTTTTACGAATGAATCACCATGCTAGACAACTATTAACTCATAAATGACCATGATTTGTCTCGATTATTGTTTCTTGAAGTCGAACAATTTCAAAACAATTTTTTCGAAAATATAGAGAAACAAAATTTAAAAAATAATAAAGAATAATTGTATGTATTCAAAATTAATCAATTGATATTGGTAGCAGTTACTGGAAATTTTGTTGAGATTCGCAATAATAAAAAAAGATTGTAACTGAATAAAAATGGATTATTTTGCTACAAAAACAAGTTTCGTTTTCTTTCAAAAAATAATCGATTAACATCGATTGTAACCGATTATTTTGGGATTTTATTGCTTAGAAAAATAGTACCATTATAATACATTTTTAATTGATTATAATTGATCATTTTTTGTAATTTTATGGAGACTGATAAAAAAACCAATTTAATCTATTATAATCCATGAAACTTTGGTGCGGGAAGAACTGATCAAACAGACAACTAAGAACTACTTTAGCTAGAATGAACATCAATGAGTAACTGCTGAAATGAAAAAGAATATTTTAGCCATTTTCGGTGAAGTTCACTGACAAATTCTAAAACATAAGCAAATCTCAACGTAGGTATATCAGTCTTCAATTCCTCTTTTTGACTTAATGATTGATTGATTTTTAAATTTCGAAATTCTGAAATTTAAGGGAAAACCATACCTGTGAATATATTTCTTTGAATGGTTCATATCAAAAGTATAGTTAGAGGGAGCTCAATTCTGATTGATTGACCAAAATTGATTAAAAAAATCTATTAATTGATGAAAAGTAACGCTGGACCCAGAATGGTTGAAAGATTGAGATCAAACGTGATAATGTTTCACCAAAATGTTAAATTTGATTCCGATTGACCTATTTTTGCTTGTTTACATCGATCACGATAATTTTTTTTAGTTGTTTTTAAATTGAAAAGATATTAGATTTTTCAAATAAATTTTCTCAACTTTTGGGACAATCTATAGTATGTGTTAATCTCTGACTAAATTTTTGAGGTTTTTCAAATTTTCATCGTTTCGCAAACTATCCTTAATTTTTGCAATTTTTTGAGATGCCGTTACTGATTGAAAACGAGAGAGTTACTATTTTGATAGCGGCAGAGACTACACACGTCAAAATGCACCAACTTGTGGAGTGTTTTATACTTATTTTCATCCAAAAACGCAGCACAAGGTGATTAAAAACACAATGTGTTGCCTCCACAAAAAAACTGACCTGCTTTTTCAAAAATTAAAACGAATTTGTTAATAAAAGAAAAACAAGCGTAAGTTCTTATTCTTAGAGAACAAGTTTGATGCTGAACAAAATCTAGGTTCCTAAAAAGTTTATATAAAAAAACTATATGAGAATACTACATAACATAATTTTTTGCAAAAGTAGTTTGTTAATTTGTTCTTTACTTTTGCTTTTGTTCAAACAATTTGATTGATGAAAAAACCAAAGCTGGTCGCTAGCAACATCAGAGTTAAAAGTTTTGTGAAGTGTTTCGTCAAGTTAAAGACTATAAAATCTTTAATCTTCAGTAATGACTGCAATGGCAGCAGTTCCATGGGGACTATATTGTGTTTAGTTTCTGATAAAAAACATTAAAAAGACATTGAGTGGAAATGCATTCAAAACAAAATTGTAAATAAAAGTACTCGATATTCATAAAACACCATTTTGCCAACATATCAATTAAAATTTTCCAATTGTTTTAACCACTGATTAGGTTTATGGAGTTGTGTTTATCCAGCACTTAATTGAAGAATGATGCGTCGCAAATCGTGATTCCAATAATTTCAAAAAAATCAGACTGATATGTAAAAAAAAATGAAAATTTTGATGTTTTCACTAGATTAATAAACGTTTCAAGATGAAAATATATCTTTTGCCGATCTAAAAACTGATTTTAAAAAAATAAAAGGTAAAACAAGACCATAGATATATCTGAAATTTTTTTTTGCAATTTGTTCTGAGCAAAGAAGGATTGTTGGTGCTAACTTTGCTTTAGATTAGTTTAAATTGATATCTTTCTACAGGAAAGTCATTTGGGTGTGAAATTTTAATTTAAATTGGATTCAATTGGAAGATTGTAGATCATGGAAAATCAAAAATGATTTAAATATTTTCAGAAAAACGAACCTGAAACACATTGTGATTATTTAGGAAACTTGAGCATTGGACATTCGAAAATTTAGCTTGATTTTTTTTACAAGTTGTAGCTTAAGAAAAAACTAAACAGAAAGACCATCAGGTTTTCGGGCAGTTATTTGAAAATATGGAGAATTTTTTACCCTTGATTTGATGAAGTAAACAAATTATAGAGAATTTAGAAGTTTTAGGAACATTTTCTCTGAAGAAAACCTGCCTTGAAGACAAAAATGATGGGTAGAGTTAATGGGTAGAGTTTTAAAACTAACTTATTTTTTAGTGATGAGTCTTAAGCAGAAGATGGTATTTTGCGAAACATCTGATGAAACAGAAATCAAGAATCAGCTTTAAAGACATACATTTACTAGTTTGTTAACAAAAAACTACTTCAGTTTTTGCTGTAGAGCCTTTTTAAAGATTGAAAAGACTCATTCAAAACTAGCACAGTTGAATAAAAAAATTCAATATCAGAAAAATGAGCAGTGCTACCAGTTTTGGAGGAGTTTCTTTAAGACAAAAACACTTTTCGAAAACTCAATCAAAAACTTTTTCAGCATTGTATTTTTTATGAAACAAAAATGATAATTGTTTAAAGAAACCTGGAAAAAAATGACTGCTTAAGTCAACTAGCAAGAGGTATAAAAATTAAAAGAAAATGAATTGGCTTGCTCCAAATAAAATTAGATAACATAATACATTTTTTCTTTATTTATTCGAAAAAATTTAGAGTAGAATCTCAACATGGGAATTTTTTCACAAAGTTTTGTACTATTTCACTGAAATTAATGATCGCAAAGAATTTTGTTTTTTGAGTTGAAATTTTCGTGCCTTTAAATAAGTTCGTGACTTAATTTTCAGCCATTTTGATAATTTTTTGAAATTTGCGTTTTGGTATTTTTGCAGAAAAAATTTTTAAAAAAATCTTATATTTTCGCAGAGCTTTTACCATTTTCTTGCCATAATACCAATCAAAATAATATAGAGGTTTCATTTAAAGCTGTACGCATATCCCACCCTTGAATTTTACCAATTAGATAACACGCGCAGAAATGTTTTCTAAATACTTGAAAAAACCCAAAAACTACCATTTTACTAACATTTTACTATCATGGTACATGCACTGACACCTTATAAATTATATTTTCTATCTACATAAACTACAGACTAAATAATCTTCCTTAATATATTGAGTGGGCAACCTGAAATCTATAACATAAGTTGATACAATAAGACGCCGAAATACCCCCCCCCCCCCGCTCCCTTATGATTTTTCCAACATCTACTAGTGTCGTGATTTATCCCGCATTCGAAATCGTTTCAAACTGACGCAAACTTTTGGACATAATATTTTTTTGCACAATCTCAAAAGGTGAAACCTAAAATTTGATTTGAAAGAAAAAGTCCCTACCTTGTATTAATTTTAGAGACGTTAAAAGTTTTTTGTACGATTTTGTAAGATTCTTATGAAAAAAAATCTAAGATAGCGACTTTTGGACGACCCGGCTGTCTTCTCATGAAATATTATTTACTAAAAACAGTTTGTGACCAATCAAAAAGCTGTCAAAATACTCAGGGCTACGCCCTGATATGTGAGCAGTATTTTTTCGGACTGCTTTTGGAAAGTAGTTATTCTAAATTTCCAATCGGAAAATATTCGAGCCTTCCTGATTCAGGTTATCTATCCCATGGGGCTAAAAAAACAAGAATGGAACCTACAAAAAAATAAAAATAATGAAGAACCGATAAAATCAGGCAACTTTTGTAAAGATTTGTGCAAATTATGAAAAGCGGATCTGCTTCCCTAGTTTTCTTCGAGTGCAAATTTGAACTGAATTACGATGATTTTCATCTATGGAACAATAAAAATGCGTACTACTTGCTTTTAATTTATGAGTTTATTTTCATTCAAACTGCCAATTATGTAGTGTTGGTGGCCTACGAAAGATACGTTGCGCTTTGTCAGCCCTTTGAGTACAAGATTAAATTCACGCGTGTGTTTCGCAAAAAAGTTATGATCTTCGCAATACTTTTGCCAATATTTGCTACAGCATTAACATGGGGCTATGGCTTTGTCTCAACAATATTTGATGAAACATATGTAGCAAATGGGATATAATCTTAACCTCCAACAAAAGGGAATCAAAACAAAACTATAAAATCAAATCTTGAAGTGTTGCATTGGACTTTTCTTGCAAATTTGAAATTAAACAGACTTTTGTTCTGAGCATCTTTTTTATCACAAAAATTAGCAATTATTTTGTTCTCTTTTATAAGATGCTCTCTATGTAGCAAAAAAACTTTGAGGGTAATGCATGCAAATATTGAGGAGGAAAAGATAACCTCCTTATTTAGCCTCTCATCAAAAACGAGCAGTAAATCAGCGTAGAGAGTTCGTGCAATGACGTCCTATACTTTAACTTCAGCCAATTTATCAGGATATTTTTCACTACCTAATTTTCCACTACTAAAAAACTGAAATCCACAAAAATTTAACTATCTTTTTTATAAACTTTATTTCGAAGTTTTTCGTCAAAAACGTTTTTCTCGATGGGAAGATCTGATTTTATATCATTTCCATAAACTTGTCTTTTAATAGGTCTTAACCTGGTCTTCAATCTAATCCGTTCCTTCGGAGTAACCTTGTTCACTTTTTATCTAAAGTTTTAATGACTAAGTAATTCATTATTTTAACTTCTTCCTATTTCTTTAATTTGAGTTAGCTTCAGCATTGGGTTATTTTATCATGAGGCAGTCAAGAAAAAAATGAAACGAGCGTGAGAGGAATTCCCCAATTCTGGCAGAATCATGCAATCGATCTTCCAATTCCGTGTGAAAATGGGAGCAATCTGTTCCAATTAGCAATCATAGCTACGGAGACTATCGATCTATATCATCTGCTCACCCCATGGAAAACATTTCCACGGCTGCGCTTATCTTCGAAAAAGCCCCAGAGAGCAATAAAACTGAAGGTCAAAAAACGCTAGGTTGGAAAGAAACCTGGCAGATCAAAAACGATACGACGACAAAGAATCAGCCTCCCAAAAAGCAGAACTCAAAAAGTTCAATGGAATGCGCTAAGAGTAGGCAGACAAAAAATTGATATTCAAGTTATATTTTCCCTTGGATCAGAAGTAAAAATAACTTTGAGCCGGGAATTCTTTAATTCAAAGTCCTTCACATTTCATCAAAAAAATTTTGGGGAATTTCTATCATTTGCGTTCGTCAGGAAAATTAACACAACCTTCAAAAGCCACAAACTCTTGAACAAAAAAACAAAAAGACACAGAAACACTAGAACAATTGCACTACTAGAAACGGCAAAGAAAAAGGACATATCGAGCGCAGAGGAAGAGTGTTAGAAGACATTTTTCATCAACAACAGGTGAAACTTCTTACAGAGCACTACCTCCGCTTGGAAGCCTTGAACCTAGCTCTTATAGACGAAAAAAGAATTAGCAATCATCTGAAAATGACTAAATTTTTTTAAAAACCCGGAAAATTTGTACAAAAAAGTAGCAAAAAAAACATTTTAATATCATGAGAGAACTAGCCCTAAAAGTTGAGAGATGAAAACTATTTATAAAGAGTGGCCGAAAACTTTCAAAAGGGATTCTTCCCATCTGTCCTGTTTTTGGTTCAAATGATTTTTACCAAAATATTGGCGTAATCCTTACCTTGCAAAATTTACGCAAGTTAACTAGCGCAAAGTTGTCTGGATTTAAATGCTTTGATGTTTACCGAAGCTTTTCTCGCTTAATGCTTTGATGTTTACCGAAGTCCCCTTTGAAGTATATTTTCTTTTCATTTGGGATTGAAACGGTGTCAAATATTTGAAATGGTCTTAAACTGTAGTGATTTTAAATTGCTAAGGCAACAAAATGTAGGCAGTGAAACTGTATGGTGTTAATTTGTTTAGAGTTGAGAAGGGGGAACAGGCGCAATTTGGGGCTAAGTGGTAGATTATGGGTTGTGAATGAGATGGTATTGTAAATAAAAGTCAAGGAACTGTCTGAAGTTAAAATTTTAAATTTTCCAAATTAAATAAATACAGTGAAGAAAAAAACAGAAAACAAAATTTTGATACAAGCCAAAATTTCAGTCTTTATATATTTAATCCAACGTTCAAGTTTTGAGTTCCGTTTACTGAAATTGGTTCGAAAGCCTGGCTCTTAAAAATGTGTAATTTTAGTATAAAATTGAAGTAAACGATCAATCCAGTATGTTGGTATTAATTTTTCTTGTTTTCTTTATAAAATAGAAGTAAACGATCAATCCAGTATGTTGGTATTAATTGTACTTGTTTTCTTATGACTGTAATCGGTTATGAATCCATTAGTCCATCATAACCTACTACTTTAGAGCAGGGGCGGATCTAGGACTTTCTCGAGGAGGAGGGCGGATTTTTTTTCAGGCCGACCAAAATGATTTTCCGAGCCCTCCTAAAGCACTAAAAAGACGCTGTTTTGGCTAAAGTTTCTGCACCGCAGGAAAATTTTTGAAAAAACAGGTCAAAAAGCCGTTTTTGGACACTTTTTGGAAAATTTTGACAAAAAATTGCGTTAATATATATTGGCGCCAAAGGCCCCTGTAGAAACTTTTCAGGGTCGGTCGGCCAAAAATGGATTTCTTAAAAAGTTCCAAAGGGGGACCCTTTGGGTCGGCAGGGGGTCGAATCCCTGAAGGAGGGCATCCGCCCCTGCTTTAGATCCCTTTTGAGACAAACATCTTTTTTAATTGATGGTTATTAATAGAACTCCGATGCGAGAAAGACATCAGCACGAATGACAGCAGAAAACTTTTATTCGTCACAGTTGATAGTTGAAAGACTGTTGAGTTTCTAAAAAAGAAAGACTCCAACAATTAAAAGAAGATTAGCGTATTATCAGTTATGATAATTTTCATATGAAAAGTGAACTAAGAAGTTCTTTCATCACTTCGCTTCAATTGCGCTGCTGAACTAATCAAAGTCGCTATGAAAAGCACTTATGGGTTTTGAAAATCAAAATTGTTTGCTCAACGTGGAAAATTTTTCTTCAGATGAGGGTAAGCACATAACCAAATTTTTGCTTTTTTAAAGTTTATAAGCCAGCATCATCAATCGTGAAGTTATATGGTAGTATCAAAAGAACCTTTTCGGGCGAGGTATTAACAAACTTTGTTCAAAAACATCAAGTTCTTCCATATTTTTTATTAAATATAAGACCTTCACCTGGCAAAGAGTAGGAATAATAAAGGAAAAAAATAGACGAGAAAAATGAATTTGCTACATATGACGATGAAAAGGATCACGTCGGCTCATGTGAAGTTAATACGTCTTGCTTTAACAACCTGCGTCACTATTATCAAACTTATAATGAAAAAATATCAAAAACATAATTATAAAAAAATTACAAAAAAGTCACAAGACTAGCTTGCGTTTACTTGGTTTTCAATCCAGCAATTTATTCTTACTTTGAGTTTTTGGCGTCTGTTTTCTATGACTTGGTTTCAAGCAAGACGTTACCACATATTTTAAATAGTTTTGTCCTCTTTACAAGTGGCATGGTCGTATCATTGCGAAAACTGTGGTTCATATCTGTGTATTTCTTTTATCCGGTGCATCCTATTTGAATATCTATGTGACAGTGAATCATAAACAGAAGGCTGTCTCGAATGATGAAAAGACTTCTTCTAACCTCAGACAGGATAAACGTCAGCGATCGGAAGTTCCGGCCCCCAAAAAGGAGCCATCAAAGGCGGAGCAGAAATCACAGAAACTGTCTCGTGTCTTTGGGCTCATAAGTCTGGCTTATGCATCTGTATATGGTCCTCTGCTGGTGGCGGATGCTGTTTTGTTTCCATTGATGAATAAAGCATACAAATATCAGGCCAAGCTTGGCCAGGATCAATACGGTATGAGCGGTGATTGAAGTGTGTTTGGCAAAAACCCTAACCAATTTCGGCAAAAATGATTGAAAAACCTTCCATCTTCTTCGTCTTTTCTGGGTTTTGGGTATGACTTTTGGGAACCAGTACTATTCTTAGCCGCATGAAAATAAATGTCAGAAAACGGGTAAAAATAGGAGCTTGGCCTTGCGCCAGGAAACTTCTGAATCAAGCAATCTACAATCAATGATTTTTTATCATTTTTGTAAAAAGGTTTTGCAGAGTTTCATCGATTTAACAGTTTTTTCTTCCGGCAAGGTCTTTTAAAAAGCTCGCACTGAGTGTCGTCTCAAACTTGCCCGAGTATTCTAGAATTTCTGTCTAATGTTCAGAGGGTGACTCCAGATTGAACTGAAATACTCAATCCAAATCTTGAACTTTGCCGTTTTACACATTTTTTAACCAATCTGTTGCCAAAAAAAATGAATTCATTTCTGATGCCCAAAAATGCAGAACGTTTTGAAAAAAAATTTTAATCGGATCATGTTAACTATCCCCCCCCCCCCGCTATGGTACCCTGTAAATAACCCCACCCCTATAAAAAAAAACATTTCATTTATGCTCAACTGGGATTCCTTTTGTATTTCTCAGAAATGTGTTCTGTCGCATTCTTATTGGTTGACTATTTCTCAATTCGCTTTCTTATTGGTTGACGTTATTTCAATAATTTTCATCCAAATCTTGTTAGTTATTTCCTTGCTATTGCAATAGGGGGAGGGGGGGGAATAGTCAACATGATCCATTTAATTTGTTTTCGTGTGTATTTGTTTTTGTTGATTACTTAAGTCAGACGGAACATTCTGTACTATATCAAAGCTAACAGATAATTTTTTTAAGCTTCATACGAGATGATTTTCAAGCCGGAGGAAGAATACGGCGTGCAAGTTGCCTCCGAAAGAGCATCCACTGCTTTAATTGGAATAAGTGCCCTGAGTGGTCTGTTCCCAATTCTGAACTGTCTCATTCTCATTGGCTTCGTCTCCCATATGAAAACTGCCGCCATCAAAATTCGCACTTACGTGATTGCAAAACTGGTTCCAGCTGACTCACGGTGAAACTCTTTTGGTAGAGTGTGTCTCATCATCAAAATTGTTTTGGCTTGTGGGAAATTTTGCAGTTTTCGCGTTTCACTGTTTTAGTAAAAGCTAGCCTTATTTTCTTGCAAAAAAATTTGATTGCTTATAAAATGATAATCTAATATAGGTTTTTTTTCATGATTTTCCGAGAATTTATTCCAGAGCACCATTTTACTCTAGTTTTAATAATAAGCTCTGTCCTGTCATCGGAATTTGAAAAAAAAACATTGAAAAAAAAATGAAACAATCGTTGTTTGCTTGCAAGTTTGGTGTTTTCTGCAGTTATACCAGCCCAAATAAAAATATAGGCTTGGGTAATGGTTTATAAAGGATTTTCATGCAGACTTTCGGACAATCCCAATATAATTTCGGGTGCACAAAACGGCCCAAAACCATGACTGGCTAACATTAGCCATTCAAATTCAAGCAACAAGTTCAGAATCTCAATCAAAGATTCCAGAAGACAAAAACATTAACCGAGTTGCCATAATGTTACACTTTGTCTAAAAATATGTTAAAATTTTGCCTGGACGAGAAAAAGTTCGTAAAATGGCTTCAGCAGAATAAAAGTTTTATCATTTTGGTTATTTCGGCCACCATATTTATCTGCTTGGAATTTTAACTGAAATGCCGGACCATGTTATTCACGCAAAAAAGCTGGTCATACAATTCTCGTAGTGTGGCGATTGTATGACATTTTCTAGCGAACTTTTGTATATAATTGTATGACTAGGACTAGCGTTTTCTTAGTACGGCTGTCCACACGGGTGGCGTACTTTAGTTTTTGTTTTGCGTGGCAAGGCAATTTTGAGACACAATTTCAACTGAAACAACCAACAAAAGACGGCTATCAAAAGAAATTCCTGTCCTGATAAATGATGATAAAAATTCTTCCCTGTTTTTTTCTCCATCTCTTAACATAAATTCAAACCGTAATTAAAACATTTAAAAAAAAATTTTTCTGAACATCTGCAAGAAGTGCCAATTCTTGAAGTGCAAAGATTCCGAGTTAAAATTAATCAGGTACAAAATTTTTACTCAGAATTACTGTTTAGTTTTCGGAAACAATTCTTTGATTTCACACAACAGTTTGATTGATAAAATTTTCTTAGCCTCCCAGATAAAGTTTCCTTAGCCTATTGATAAAGTTTCCATTGCTGAAATATTCACATATTTCAGCAATCAATTCAATATTCAGAGTGTCTAAAAATCTATATGAAGTTGATCGAAAATAGAGGTTTAAAATTTTTTTTCACATTCCTCAAAATAACATCCTTCCGCTCGTTAAACAAAATGGACCCCAGAAAATTGAGATCTAAATGGTGTTTTGATTTATGCCGAAATTTTTGCACCTAACGTTTCTAGAGACGACCATTTTCAACTTTTTTTTAAAAAATTGTTTATAAATAGCATAATACAAGCTTAATTTCAGTCAAAATTTCTATTTGAGATTCCTTTTGCAACGCAAAACTTACTTTCAGGGCGGATCTTGAGTTTTCTCAAAACAGGGTGGATTTTTTTAAAGACAATTTTGTAGACAATTTTAGGTCAACCAAGTTGATTTTTGACCGAGCTTTACCTATTCGAAATAAAAAAGCAATCAGAACAAATTTTCTGTTCCTCAAAACTAAAAAATAAAGCAAAACTCGAAAAGTTGTTCAAAAAGACGTTTTTATGCCCGTTTCGATGAACTTTGACTAAAAAGTTGTGGGGGATACCCTTGAGATTGCGTTTCATTGTGTTTCAGATTTTGTAGCACCCTCTTTCACCCTTTTTCTCTTTCAAGTTAAATGTAGCGTTCGGCAATTAAAATTGAATTCACATCTGATTTTAGCCTATTGCGGAATCCGCTCTTATTGCGCAAAATGCACAGTTTGGCCTCGTAATGTCGGCGAAAAACTATCAAACAATCCTAAAGCTTCAGTTTAAGCTGAAAAATGTTGTTGCTGTTTTTTACCAATCACAAACTATGCATGCCTTTCGAACAGGTGAAGCACTCGGCACCATAAAAAAAAATGCTTAGTTTCCACTAGCACAGAAAAAAATGAAAATAAAAAACGTTTTACTTCAAAGGTTTAGAGCATTTGGATTTTGTTACTGACAAAAAATACAATTCTAAAGGAGTTGTTTGATAACCGGGTCGTAATCTCACGATTTTTTAAATTTTAGTACAAACTTGGTTTTGCGATCGAAAATTATAGAAAAAGTTTCGGGATACTTTGGCATTTTATTTTTTCAACTTTTTTCTGCTAATATAGCTTATCATTCAACTCTCGTAGTGTGGCAAATGTATGACAACTTTTTCTATCGAATTTTTTTTAAAATTGTATGACAATCGTTTTTTTTGCAAGATGGCCAACACGGGTGGCGGTTTTTATTTACTGATTTGCATGGCAAGTCAACTTTGAAGTACAACTCGATCTGAAACAACAACAGACGGCATTCAAATGAAACTCAATTTTTTTTTGGTCCTGATGAATGATGAAAAAAATTTTCCTCCGCAAATTATCATCATATTTATCATATTCTAATTGTAATTACAAAAATTTGAAATAGAGTCTCTGACCACCTGCTATGAGTGCTATTTTTTAAGGAGCGAATACTCCGAGTTAAATTTTTAAAAATTCCAGAATTACGATTCCATTTTCGGAAACAATTGCCTGATGCAACACAACAGTTTGATCAAATTTCCCCTGCTTCCTAACTCGATCGACCTATTTCAGTTATTATTTAATTGTTCATAGCAGGAAAAAATCTAAATAAGCAAAATGCTAAAACGGACGTTTATTTTTTTTTTTCAATCTTTAAATGCATATCCCCTGCCTTATTATAATGACTGTGCCCCACGAAATTAAGTGGTTAAATGGTTTTTAATTTATGCTAATGTTTTCATACAAAACTTTTCCAGAGACTACGTTTTTCAAATTATATCAAAAAGGTTATTTTATGGCATATTATAAGCTATATTTTTATTAAAATTTCTATCTAATATATTTTTGCAAAGTAAAAACTAATTTTCAGGTCGGATCTAGAGTTTTCTAATGAGGGCGGTTTTTTTAAAAATTGAAAATTTTGTCGACATTTTTCGGTCGGCTAATTTGATTTCCTTCAGAGTTTTTCCTACTCACAAATTTTCAGAACAAGTTTTCAGCGCCGCAGGCAAAGTGAGGAAAAAATGCCAAAAAGACTTGGCGTTTTTGGAGTTGGCCTAAAAATTGTAAATTATGCTCTTGAGACTGAATTTTTGTGTTTTTCAGGTTCTGAAACACCCCATGTCCCTCGGTTTACCGCACGCTGCTTTCACGCTTACCGGCCAACTTTTTTCTCAAGTTAAATGCGAGGTTAGGCAACTAAAATTGAAGTGATAACATTGCAAAAAAAATTTTTAGTAGAAAAGTTTGATTGGATTTTTAAAATAAAAAATATCTAAAAGCAAAAATGTTTACATATTCCTTGATTACAGCATTAATATCAAGAAACGAAAATATAACAATAAGATCAGCAAAAATGATTATAGTCTTTTATAGCCAATTAAAGTGGGTTTTGTTTTTTTTTGGTGAAAGGTTTGACAATAAGCTGCAAATGATCTATTATAATCTATTGATACTTGTTTTTCATCGCATCGAAAGGCATGGTTCTGTACTAACTTATTCGGAAAAAAATAATAAAACTTGAAATATAAAACGAGCTTTTCTCAAATTGGGTTCAATTTAGACAAAAAAGGAAAAGACAAACTTTCTTTTAGATCCAAAGCAGTAATCTAACTCATATAACTTTGAACAATTTGGGCCAAAAATTGTTCCCATGGTTAAGTACTGCTAAATCTATATCAAATTGAACCTCTTACGTAGCAAAACAAAGCTAAGGAAAAGTATAATCTCCAAAAAAATTATAAATATTGTTTGATTTATATTTGATATCCAAAAATGTCACTTTCACTATATAAATTACCAATATATTATTGAAAAAACAATTTTTTGCAGATTCTACATTTTGTTTTTCCTGAATTTTGAAACAGGCTGATTTTGATCTAAATTTGGCGACAATTGAACCGGCAGTTGTTGCTTAATTTTAGATTAACTGAAAAAATCTAGAGTGTTTCAATTTCGGGGTATATTTCGCAAATCAAATTAATTCTGCTAAAATTTGAGGCAATCTTTGTTGAAACCTAAGTTCAACCGAGTTTGCCAAAAACGCATTTTAAATTTATGTTTTGTTCCTGTTGTTCGGATCAACTAAATCAGAACTGTAGTAACTTTAATTTTCTTTTTTGATCAATTGGAATAAATTTTCTTTCCTAAATTTTAGAGAGATAGGCTATGAAAATCCAACTTTATCGATAATTATATATGAAACTCCGGTGCGGGATGTAATCGAATTTTTTTTTATTTTGCCAACTTCTCGTTCATGTATATAAGATGTCATTCAATCATGGGAAGAAACAGATACTACGAGTTCAGAGGCTTCTCGTAATCTGACTTGCCGAATGCGAGGATTTTGACAAAAATGTTTTTACTAATAACCTTAATTTTGACAAGAAACATAGCTTAAATTTATTTTTATAGAGATAGCTAAAGAAACCTGATTTGTATCGATCCAAAAACCAGCTCAATTTTTTTGATTGATTAAGATTAACATTGTTGCGCTATTTCAACGTTCGCTCAAGTAAATCAATAGCAAAATACTTCTTAACTAAAAAAAAAAATTTTTTTTTATCATAGAACAATTGTATTCCAACAGTTACAATTATTTATTTCTGAAAAAACACTAGTTTTACATTAAACACTTTTTTCTAATGCAATTTAGTCAAAAAGTGATATAGAAAAATTGCTTGTCAAGCTTATGACAGAATTAAATAATCAAAGTTTTTTTTTAACTAAACATGACTGCTCCTGTCACGGCGAAACCAGGAACAAATTAAATTGAATAAAAAAAAGCAAAAAA